TTTTAAGAACCAGGGGTGACCTCCGCAACAGTCACGTCTCTTATAAACTTACAGGTTTCGTCACAGCTACAACAGAAAAACGTAAGTTCTAGATTTTTAGAAACGAGTTCTTATTTACTTTTTTTTGACAGTTGTGTAAGTGTTTCTCTTATTAGAGCGTCTTTCCCCTTTATACTTTAGAAATTAACTTAAAAAGTCTTCTTTCAATCTTAGTAATCTTAAATCTAGAATTCCGCGCCGGTTAGAAAGTGACTCGTGAGTGGCTGGCGTGTGGGTGTTTTGTCTCACATGACAATCACATTGTGACTGTCATGATTGTGAAAATGTCTGATTAAATAAAATAAAATACATTGTGAAAATGTCTTAGAAATATTAGATCCAGATCAGATCTACTTCCCCGTCACCACCCTAAGGCCCTAAAGTATTATACATTACATTAAATTAAAATCACTTCTTTTTTTTTTTTTGGTATCGTGTTGTGGCTTCAAGTTCAGGCTTCATAATGATAATCATCACTCACCCAAGAATTTCTTTCTTTTTTTTTTTTTAACCTCCACCGTCAACACACGAAATACAGTATAGGTATAGTTTATCTAGATTTTACATTTCATTTTGTTTTTGTCAATTTTTAAGCAAAAAAAACAAAACATGCCAGTTTTCATATTCTGGTAAAATGAAATGATTTAAACTTTATCTAGATCTAAGTCTAAATAAGAATGATGAGTAGAATCTAGCTCAAGAAAAGATTAAGAAACTGGAACAGAGACAAAATAGAGCATTGAGATTAATAACAAACGAATATTCACATTTGACTGAGTAACACCTTTAGTAAAATCACTAAATTTAGAAAGCCTTCAGGACACGATAGAAGACTCAAAAGGAAAGTAGCAATTATACATAAAACATTGAACCATAATCTTCAAATACAAAAACAAAATTTAATAAAATACTCAGAAAGACACAAAGATAAAGGCTCATTCCTCGTTCCATATGCTAGGACAAATTTGTACATGAGCATGGAATGGGTTGCCGGAGCTAGCCAGGAAAACCAGTGACTTGGCAGATTTAAGTCATTGGTTAATATGTATGACTGAATACATAACGCGTAGAACGTAATCATCTTTTTTGAAGTAATGTCTGTATTATATAAGATAAGATAAAAATTTCAGACAATATATTATAAGGAAACAAATATAGTTAGATAAAGCTTTTTGAACTGAGTTTATTGATACCTCTTTTTTTTTTTTTAAGTAATTAGAACAGAAGTTATAGCAATTTTAGTGGTGAAAGTTTTGCCTATATATTTTACAAGTTAACTTTACATCTAGTGTATTAATGTAGACACTGAAACTATTTTACAGTAGGCTATTACATTTTAAAGTTTAACAAATCCCTTGGAAACATAAGGAAAACAACCTGATTGAAGTTGAGTCAATTCTATAATATTTATTAATGCACTTGTCTTGTAATTATTATTTTTTTATTTGCTACTCACAGTCATCTTTTAATATTTTTTTTAGAACTATTACAATGGGTGATACAGAAAAAGGCAAGAAAATCTTTGTTCAGAAATGTGCTCAGTGCCATACAGTTGAAGCTGGCGGAAAACATAAAACAGGACCAAACCTCCATGGGCTAATAGGCAGAAAAACTGGCCAATCACCAGGATTCTCTTACACAGCAGCAAACAAAAGCAAAGGTTTGTTGTTTTTCTTTTAATAGTTGCCTAGGTATTGTAAGTATTACCTAGAAAAAGTTAACCTACTTTCACTTACCTAGCTCCCACTCGCTTTTATTTTTTTTACTAAATATTTTTTTAGTTTACTTAGATATTACATTGTTTTTAAAACTTGTATTAATGTATTAACTATTTATTAAAAGTAACAAATTGATAATATCATGCTGCAACGTCTTCTTTAGATGTTGTGCTGGATGAATAGCTGTAAACTATAGTGATTCTATTTCAATTAACTTTTCTGTCACCACAAAAGTGTGATAATAGTTTATAGGAAAATAAACACAGAAGCATTATCAATGAACTAATGCCTGAATACTTAACTCATAATCTGATGTATCAAAAGATTATAACAATTCAGTATTATAAAAATAAATCCGCCAATGAATATTTAATGAACTTTTTTTCTCTCTCCCTTTTACATTTTGGAAAATTCTCAAGAAAAGGGAAAATAAAACAAAAATTGTTTCTTGGCTCTCCTGCCAAATTCCTGTGTTGATGTATCAGTTCCTTTAAGACTTATAAAGTTACTGGTACTTAACCATTTCACCACTAAGCAGTTGTAAGAAACTATCTACCCCATCCCCAAGAGAAGGGATATAACTCTGTATCAGCTATTTAAAAAAATCAATTTTTTGACTAAATTCACAGAAAAAAACTAATAAAACCTAACAAAAACCTTCTTTTTATAATAGAAAAAATAGACCTAGGGTTAAGCATCATATTTGAAGTCATAAATAGGCCTACAGAGCTCAAAAACATTAAAATATCACGTCATATTTAGTTGCCTTATAAATTTCCTGTTTGACTGGATCTAGCATCAGTTTTTTATTTATTTTCACTACTATTGGTCTTAAATGGTTCTAAATCACTTACCCCAATCATTATATCCTTATTCTACAGCTTAAACATTAATATTCCCATTAAAATCTTATTCTAAACATAAGCCTGAATATGTTCCATTTTCTAGGCTAGCAAAAAGAAACCTAATTTTAAAAAAAATAAATAAAAATCCATTCTAACATGCTGCAGTTACAAAATAAACACCTAAAAGTAGCATCGCTATCGTTCTTCTAGGTCAGAGTTAGTAAAGGTATAAATAGTTATTTAAAAACTAGCAGTGCGTGTTTAAACGAAATAACCCAAAATCAGCGACTCTAGTTGTCAACCAGTAGTGGAGACTCTAGTTGTCAAAGGGTTAATAAATTGGTGCGGCATTACCAACTTCTCTTGTGGATAATTTAGGCTGCTAAAGCAACTCTTTCTTTGCATTTTGGCTTGTGACAAAATGGTTATAAAGTTTGTTTCTATTTTTATTCCTGCTTTAGCAAGCTGCAATATTAGTTTTTTCTGTTATTGCTTCAGTTTCATTTTGGTTACAGTACCATATATGTTTTGTACTTGCAGGTATAACATGGGATAAAGATACTCTGTTTGAATACCTTGAAAACCCCAAGAAATATATTCCAGGAACAAAGATGGTGTTTGCAGGTCTGAAAAAGAAGGAAGAACGTCTAGACCTTATAGCTTACTTAGAGGAAGCTACTAAATAAAGATTCAGCTGCCACTTTCAACTATTGACAAATATGTAATGGACAGAGCATCCTATATATATATATATGTATATTTGGTGATTGAAGTGTGTTTGTTTAGATGGGGTTTCTTTTGACCAGAGTGTTGACTGTAATTTATTGACATTTATAATCCTTGTATTTGTATTTTAAGCAATTTTTAGTAGAAAAAAAAAAAGTAAATTAGAAAGCTAAGTATTCTGATGACATCAAGACTATTATATCTAGAACAAACAGATTGTTGCTATTGCAGTATTAGGCTATAAAGTATTGTCATCCTATTAGCACAAATTGTGTAACACAGTAACTTCTTATAAAAAATATAGCTGTTTAAACCTACATATTTGTTTAATTTATATTTTTTGTTTGTTTGTTTATGGTTACACATAGATTATATGCTCACAAATTTGTTCAGCTTGAATAGAATTTAATTAGAGGCCAAGAAAACGTATCTCATAAAGATACATTAGCCTGCTTTTTTTAAAGAAAACCAGTAGAAATCTTTAAATATAATCAACTTAAATATTCAAAATTTACAATGCTCCATACTTTACAGCTTTATTTACTATTTAACAGTACATTGGGCTAACTATGTTGTCTTTTGCTGAAATCAAAATATGTTGACCGAACATTCATTTGTTTGTTAAAAAAAAATCTTTAAATAACAGTAAAATGTAATTTTATATTTTTTTAATGTTTAATTAATAATGACATTTTTAATACCAATAACATTAATTTTCTATCTCATTTGATCTAACTTCACCTCTATTAAATTTCAGCAGAAAATAACTTTTCTGTTTACTGGTGCAATTTTTAATTTGATTTTAGAATAAGTTGGGTTTTAGGCTAGGTTTCTAATAAATGTCTGAAAACAGCACATGGGCTTAAGTCTCTCTTGCTTTAATTCCATTTATTTGAAGTCTGAATCAAGTTATCTTAACCATACGGACTTGGTAGGCCACATACATTTTAAAGATTCTATGGCTGGCTGCACAAAACTTTAATGACACTAGATATTCTCATTAGTCACTAACACTATGCTGAGTACACAATTAGGACAGTAATCTGTCTTCAAATTTTTTTTAATAGTTAGGTCTGGTTTCTGCAGTAAAGTTTAAAATGTTTATAAATTCTGCATAGAGTTAATTTTTTATACACATCCTTTCACAAATAATGTTCATCTGAATTATGCAGATTGATTTGATTTGCTTGGGTAGAAAATGTGAACTGTAACTTGATACATGTGCTCACTGGTGAGCCATGATGGCTTGTTCTTGCCCAATTTCAATATTCACACATAATAAATATTATTCAATGCTTTAACCAGTGGAAGTATGTTGTCTTGCAGTACGTGATAAAAATATGTGCAGTTTAGTTCATATACATTTGACAGCGATTCTCTTGCTTGCATTATAGAAAATCATTCTGGAATATGAGAAAAGTTTAAATTTCTAGCTTTGTTGCAACTGCAAAGTGCTGCCCACTATCTGGCTTGTTGATGCCTGGTCTAAATCACTTCTACAACCCTTCCCCATATGTATATATATATATAACCTAAATCCTTAGTAAATGTATTAAGCATACATCTTTATAAAGTCCCTAGGTTGTTTTGCAATTAACCAAATTGTCTCATCTGATAAAATCAAGCAATACAGATAACATAAAAGAAAAAAAAAAAGAAAATTGAGACAAATCTTGCAACATTTTGTTTATTTTTTTTTTTTTTTAATTTCTCATTCAACAGTTTTTTTTTCTATGAGTATAGTAAAGCAATATAAAACTTATCTGAACATAAAATTCTCTAATATTCACACCAAAAAGAAAAACATTTATATAAATGCTAAATATTTAGCATTACTGAAGACATACTTTATAGTCTTTATATTAGATTTTCAATATTTAACATTCTAATCAGGTTTTGTCAACAAAAGCAATAAATACTTGGACAAGGTTTCTGGCCTTTAAAAAACATAAGTACAGCTTTGCAATATGGTACAATGAGAACCAATAAATATTTGGAAAAGGTTTCTGGCCTTCAAAAAACATAAGTATAGCTTTGCAATGAAATTTTTAAACAATTTGAATTACTAATGACTTGAAGGTGAGACTTTTTTTTCTTGACATTCTCAATACATAGTGTGATGACAGTCTCAATGATTAACAGAATTCGTGCATCAACGCTAGGTAAAATTGAGAGGCAGTAGGCATGGATACCGGTATATATTTCAACTTACAAGTGAATAGTTAATGTTGACTATATAAAGATGCAAAGAAGGTAACAGGACAACTATTGATGTTTGAGAATTATTTGTTTTTAAAGTATGGTACGAATACACTTAGCAAGTGTGGCTCTGACAATGAGAGCAGACAAATTAAGAAAATATGTTGAGATTTTACTATAAATGTCGAACTTAGTAAAAAAAATATGCAAAGACCCCCAAATAAAAAAAAACATTCACAAAAAAGCTCCATAGTGTGGATGATGAAAAAAAAAATCTGCAATGAATTGGCATCTAGAAAAGCTGGTCTAATTAATGACAAACTTATGCCATTTACTTTCTGACAGGAGAAAAAAATCATATCATGAGACAGGTTTGTCCAAGCTATAGTCTTTACCTGGCCGCAAGATGAGCACATATGGACAAGAGGAACAGAACTTGAAAGAGAATCATAACTTCAAAATGATATAGATACACAGATTTCATTTATTGTATTGGTGCTACCCTAAATTAAAGAAAAATATTTTGTTTTTTTTCACTTCCAAAATAAATTTAAAAAAACATTAGTTTCTAACATACCATATCAATTTTGTAGGCAAATAATTCAGAACTCACTTTTAGGCAGTTGGTGGAAACAAATCTTCCAAAGATGCAAACTAAAATGATTAGTGCATACCAGCTAACCTGATAAAAACAAATACAATTTGATTCTACAATAAAAACTTAACTAAAGGATCATTTTTTAATTCATCTTTTTTTTCTTGACAGTACCTTGTCTGATAGTTTGCAATTGGTTCCTGTCTAAAAAAAATGTTTGTTTTAGGTAAAGAGCTTTTTATTTTTAGATTTAACATGTTCTGTAAAAATTACTCTTATTGGTTTGGATTTTTTAAATCCAAAAATAAATGCTACCCGGTAATTAGAAATATTTAACCAGAACAGTTGCTTTATTAATAAGAAATAATAAAAAATTTTAAGACATCCCGAAAGAATCAAGCCTACCACTTCTACTGCATATGCTTCATTCACATAATTTTTACTTAGGATAATACATTTCTTGAAGTAAATCACAGTATTTTAAACAAGAACTGAATTTTAAAAATACATTGTATAACAAGAACCATAACATTACAATTCATTTTTATTAAAAGTGTTATATAAAACAATAATGAGTTTATATAATACAACTTTTGATGGCACAAGCATTACAAATTTTTTTTTGTTTAAATCAAAACTCTTGTTAAAAATATAGATTCAGATTCTTGGATTATCATCATTACTTTCTATTGTGTTTAATGGATGAATTTGCTCTGATACTTCTATATTTAATGATGTATCTGCCAGTGGACCATAATGCCGGTTTAAAAAGAACCGATTAAAGCTCCAGAGAAAAACAAAAATACAACAAAGCAACACTGTCTGACCCAAAAGAAGGTAACAGAACCACATGTTGCTTAGTTCAGTCATTAGAACGCCTAACATCAAAGGATTGATCATAGTTCCCACAGAAGCTGATACAAGAATACAAGAAGAAATAGGACCAGTAACTCTGAGTAACTCAGCCTCTGTCCATGAAAAACCAGCAGGAAAGACAGCTGACATGCTTATACCTGCCAACACAACAAAAAAAATTAATGCATTCAGAGCAGAGGGGTTGACCACTGCAAAGGAAGCACTTACAAAAAAACTAGAATAAGCTATGAGCATGAGTAAGCAACATAGACACAACAAATGAAAGGCTTTCAAAAATTTGGATATAAATATCATTGAAAATCTAGCAGCAGCAAATGATGCCCAGTAGATAGCTGTTATAAATGCCCCCTTTGATTTACTCACATAGCTATATTCTTTAACTAAAAATGTCATGAGAAATGATGCAAATGTATCCTCAACACAACAATATAACATATAGAAGGAACAGAGTACAAAAATAGTCAGCAATAAAGTTATTTTGGACAGCTTTCGCTGTGTGACTTGTTCAGGTTTGCTACTAGACTTGCTTTTCTTTTTCTTTTTTAGATCTTGAAAGAATAGAACAAGGAATGGAATGGCTGAAAAAAATGTCCAGACTCCTGAAATTAAAAAGGCCCAATGTACATTTGTAGTCTGGGGAAGTTTCTTATTTAAACCTATATCTACTGTAGAGTTGACTGAGGTCAAGTTAATGTCATTTGTGAATACTGATGTATTTCTCCAGCTTGTTATATTTTCCAAGATATTTTTTTCCTCAATCTTTTCTGCGAGAAATGGCTCAGAATACAATGGAGATATTACTCCTCCCAAGGCAAAAGAAAAATGTAAGAGTTGCATTAAAACTTGTCCATCGTTGCCCCAGATTCGCATATGTTCAGCATTTCCAGCTGTGGACACAAAACAAAAATTTATAGGTATGTCTTTTACTTTAAACAATATTCCTACACATGAAGGGTGAGGGAAACTCCCAAAACATGGAAGTTAAAACAGGAAGCTATACTAAAAAGTCAATACAGTATTTATAAATGTAATGTGTTTATTAAATCTTTTTATTTAAAGCAACTTAGTATTCTTACTAATTTCCATAAAAAAAAAAAAACAGCTTGTAAATATATATAAAAATGAAACTAGATAATAAATCCAGAGTTGCAATAACAAATGAACTCTAGAACAATGTAATATTTTCACACACAGGATGAACTCACAGCAGTGTTGTGGGGAAATTCTCAGAATAAAATTTTAAGTCAGGTAAATAGGGCCTTATATTTTAGTCAGCCTTTATGATAATAAAAGCTTCAGCATGTGGGTTTTCAGCTTGCAAATTTTCCAAAAAAGAAAAGTTGTTAAGCCATCAGTAGATGTTCTCCAGTGACCTTAATATTCCCATGTCTTGCTTCCAGAGCCTCAATCGACACTTATTGGATGTTCAAGAGATAATTATAAAAATGCTTCAAATAAGGACAGTCAAATGAGTAAAAAAAACAAATCTAAACAAAATCTGTTTCATTCATTGGAATACTTAACAAGGCATCTGTTGCACTTGAATAAAGTTGATGAATTTACCTTCATGTGATAATATTGTGGTGGTTCTTTAATATAGAGTGAAAGAAGTTTTGGGTGTAGGTTTTGTGTTCTTATAATAGGCCTACAGGTCTAGTGCTGTATGATATACTTATTTATTTGATTCAGTTCTGTTTCCCTTGCTCTTCAACACAAATATAGGAGAGAGAACAAAAAATACAGTAAACTAAAACAAACATTCTTACTTGTATCAACACACCCAGCACATGTTCCAACAATGGAACGAATAAAAATCATGAGTGGATACACGCTACAATATGGAGTTAGTGTTGTGGTAATGCCAAGAATGACCAGAGTAAAAAACTGTAATAATGGCCTGTTGACCTGCAGAACAAGGAGGAAACAGTTTTAATATATTCTTTAGTTAAATTTATTTTAATATAACATCTGTAAGCAGTGAAAGTAGAGGGGAGGGGTGATGTTGTCAAGATGTCAAATTTTAAAGCTAAAATGGATACATACTATTACCATCTACAAAATTTACTACCTAGTAATTATCATGGAGTAAATTATCAATTCTTTTTTTATTACTATGGGAAAAATGAATGATTCATTATTTTCTCAATATTTCAGTCTTTTCTGTTTGGTTCTATTTCATGTTTGGAACAAGGAAAAGTTTAACAATTCAACAAGTTTTTCTGTTATGGATGATGGGTGTTATGTGCTTGTCTGCTGAAGTGAATGATAGCAAAGCTGAGCAGTAAAGTTTTCCCAGTCTCATTGTGGCACACTGAGGGAACATCTATGAGAGGATATAGGTTAGTGAAAAAGGGAAAAAAATATGTTTCATGGTTCCAAACTAAATAGTTCAGATAAAACTCAATGTGGTGAAAACACGGAGAAAAGCTTGCAGCCAAACTAATATTCCTAATCACAGCAGCCAATACAAAGTATTTGAAACAATAACTTCATTTTAACCTTAAAATAAATTTTAAAAAAGACTCAATAACATTACACTGATAAATTTAAAGTGGTTAACATATCCCCTTTGTAATTTAGAACATACTCACTCTAGTGTATAAAGCTCCACTTAAGATCGAGCCAGTCAAATAACCAATTGAGCTACCTGTGAAAAACGCAGATGCTTTTTCAACATCAGTATTAGTAACAATTTGGAGATCCAGAAAACTTGGTCCCATTTGTCCGACACATATTCCCTGCAGAATGTAGAGTTTGCTTTTTTAAAATCCCAGTTACATTAATTACCTCACATTTAATGTTCACCTGACAATAATATGCATAATTGTTACTCTACCCTTAGTTGAGAGCCATGAGTTAACTACAAAATGATTCATTTGTCTAGTTTTTATAGTAGTATATTACCAGTTGTTTATTGTAATGGTGAAATACTGTCACAGTATTTCTTGCTGTTATACAGTCTAATACGTTCATGAGTTCTTACATACATCCAATTCATAAAGATAAAAGATGGCAACTCAGTTCTCCAATGTTTTAATAACTTGAACTTATTGTCAAGTACATAATAAGTTAAAAGCTATGTGAGAACATAAAATAATAATCTACCTTCTAGTTCAACCATTGTTAAGCAACTGATTTCTTTCAGGTCTTCAGAACTTTTTTTGTTCACTTATCCTCTGTACAGAGAACCCCCCGCGCCTTTTATTTCCTGCCCAGTGTCAGGCATGTATGTAAAGATTTTTCTACACCAAGTTCTTTTTGATTCCTTCTGCAAAATTGTGTCTATAAGCTAGTTAATTTAATAAGGTATAATCTCTCAGCATCTTAGCTAGTTCAGTTTCTGTGGCATTTTACGTCTCGAGAGACGATCTTTTCCCTTTGCAACTTCTTGTGTGACTAAAGAGGCCAATCCTTGATACACAGCTGCGATCGCAGGTTGGGCATATATAATCACCAGGAGCCGTTGCATTTTCACCCTTCTTTCTGCTTCTGTTGTGTATGACATCTGCAATCTTTGACCCTTCCTTTATGCTCTCTCTCCATGAGGATCTGTCCAGTGCCACCTCTTCCCAGTTGCCAGTGTCGATTTTGAAGAGCTTCATGTAGCGTTTGCATACATCCGTATAACGTAAAAGTGGGCGACCAGCGGCTCTCCTGCCTTCTATTAGATCGCCATACAGGATGTCCTGTGGAAGTCGACCTTCTGGCATTCTACGAACGTGGCCAAGCCAGCCAAGGCGTCTGC